TCATTCAAATGAACAATTTTTATTAATATGGAGAAGATGGATTGTTTATATTCAAAATAAGTACAGAATGGTGGAATATAAGTTAGGTTTTTAGATAAAAAAAAATTTTTTTATATATATATATATATATTTCACCTACTTATGTAGAATAACATTTTGTGGAGTTAGGGATATTAATATTAGTTTACTTTTAGTTGAATAGTATCCTGGGATTAGGTTTGGGAAGTCCGGGTGGGGGGTGGGGGGTAGGGGTTTTTTCAATTGTGATGTATTTGTGATGTGCTTTTTTTTTATGTTGAAAACAATAAAAAATTTATATTTGAAAAAAAAAAAATATTCTGCATCATGAAGATGTGCTGTTTGTGTCTACTTGGCAGCAAAGTTAATTCTACAACCAGTTCAGTTAATCAAACTGAATTCATCGTTAAGGATGAGAGTAGGTAGTAAGATTTAAAACAGCATCAAGTAACATGTTTCAGATATTTCAGATATAAACTCATCCTATCTCTGTAAAGCTTGAATCTATTGGATTATGCAAACATAAAAATTTGCTATACTCATAAATATTTGGGGTTGTTTAAATGCTGGAACTAACCACGTAGCAATAAGAAAATGATTGAGAACACTTAAAGTCTAATTCCTAAGTGTTAAAATTTAACAGATAATTAGTATACAAACATCCAACAGAGCATGCTCAACTGATGTGTGCTGTATTGCTTTCTTTAGGCAGGGATAGTAAAGAAAGGCAGCTTTCACAAAACAAAACAGGAAGTATTAGCACGTTATTTGTCCTATATTCAATGCTTTTCTCCATGCTGGAGGAGAAATAGTGGCATGTATATAGAACTTGGGGCTGGATAATAAATAACTATAGAAAACTTTGGGAAAAGAACCTATGTGCAGCTACAAATAATTTCCCCTTGATCTGATCTAAAAATGCTTAATTAGTGCCAGATACTGGAGGAGTGGGGGGGGGAAGGGGGTTATCATGATCTACCCATCATGGATAGTTCACAAATTAAATTTAATGCTAAAATAATGATGCAATTCCTGTCAGGTTGAATTGTTGGAATGGAGAAACTGATGCGAAGAATCTTATCCTTGAAATACATATAAGCTAGGTAGTTAGGCATGCAAAAAAAAAATATTCATCCACAAAGGTAAAAAAGTACTTGTACAGCATTACTCATTTTTCAAAGTGAATGTTCAGATAGATAATATGCACTTACCACTATCCATGTTTAATACTTTTCTCTAGAAAGTGCTGTAAGGAAAAGAGAAACAACCTTTGTTAATAGGATAAAAAAGTTTTAAATCAAGAAGTAGTGATTATGTGGCACAAATTGAATTACAGGTTAATCTGATAATGCAGATCTTACTATTCTATTCTTAAATCTCATTTAATGTGACTATGTATATAACACCATCATTTCATTTAAAAAATAAAGAAAACCATGCCACGTTTTTGTCAAATCTGTGTTTCACATCTGAAATGACTGATTAATGATTTCCATTAACAGAAAGCCTTTGAGTAGTTCCTGGGTAACAATGCATAAGACCATTTTGAACCAGAACAATCTTATAAAAAGATTGGTGCCCGTAGTTAAAAGAAAAAAACTGAATTGACTGCACTGAATTAACAATTTAACATGTTAGGAAATGTAAATAAAGTTTATATGAACTATTTTTCATCTGTTTTCAATTGTATGGAATGTTTACCAGACCTTTGGAACACACAGGATGGAATAGTACTGTTGCAGAAAAGATTTGTTAGTTCAGAGGAAAGAGAAAGTGTGAGAAACATAAAATAATCCTGCCTTAATGTTATTTGTAAGTTGATCCGTAGAATTAATTTGGCAGATTTCACTGGTCTACAAATTTTGGGAAATTATCGACCTTCAAGATAAAGTGTGTTAATTCTTACATATTTTGAATAGCTGAATTAGAAAACGTGATAAAGGTGCTGGTTGGCTAAAGTTTTCAAGATATTTCACAATAAAGATTTATACATAGGCAAGTATATTTGCCTACAAGGGAGGGAGGTGTCTAATGATCATGATACCTCGTAACTTCTCAACAAAGTACAGTAAAACAATGAAAATGGTATACATTTATCTTCACTTTGAGACTAAAGATTATTACCTAACTGTAATTTATTGTTGTTTTATTGTAAGATACATTTGTCTTGGTCAGATCTACGCATCATAGTTACATTTGGTGGATTGTGAAAGTGTCATTGCCTAACATTTCCAAGGAACAGTTGCGTGATATTTTCCCTCAGAAGCCAAGATGCCACAAAACTAGGGTGGATTTTATTTAAATCAAATCAATTTAAATCACGATTTAAATCACTAGTAAAAAGGCTTGATTTAAATCAACTCGATTTAAATCATAATTTTTAAAGAGCAACTGTCATCTCTGTCCCGCAGTGGCTCCTCCTCTAACCCGCTGTTGACTCACCGACAGTCCCATTCACTTTAACGGGACAGCTGGTGATGCGGCAGTGACACAACAAGGTGAGGGACGTGGCGGGCAGCAGGTGAGTGGATGCCCGCTAACAGATGCTGCCATGATGGAACTGAAATGACAGGTGCTCTTTAAATGTAAGGATTCATTCTTGCTGGTAGTTAGAATCTTTAATATTACTATTTGCAAACAAAATGAAGGTTTCCTATTTAGAATAAGCTGTCAGGTTAAATAAAACAGCGATATCAGAACCGATTTTAGGCTAATAAGTTAATCACACATAGTTGGATAAAACTACTCAAATTCTTTTATTTAATTAAAACATTTAGAGCTGGTATAGATGCATTTCCCTTCAAACAATCATACAGTTCGTAGTGTACATAGATTTGCAAAACAATGGGATAAAGTAATATTCCTGAACTTTGTTTTATGATTTATCTCATGGTTACTGTGAAATTGTGTGAATGCATCAATGCAGTACATGTTATCTCAGCTTACAGAGCTTGGATTCATTGAATGAGTTTACAAAAAATGTAAATATTGCAGAATATACAGCCTCATGCTACATAACTAAGTTCCATTTTATGCTGAATAAACTAAATTATTAATCTGTCTTAAATAAAAAACTATATTTAGATAGATTTTTTACTCCAAAAGCATTTTATTAAAATAAATTTGATAAAAATAAAAAAAAACCTGATTTAAATAAAAATTGACGCAGATAAGTTACACATGTAATGCTTATTGTTGCATTACATGTGCAACCTATCTGCATCATTGGCTAAAGAAGAAAAAGTTCATGCCTTTTGCAGTTCCAATGGTGTGGAGGGAACCCACCAATTCATAGTAGTGACTGCTCTTTTTGCATGGTTCCCCCAATTGCAAAAGGGATCTTGTTCTGGATCGTATAGCTCTATGTAACCCTAACTAGAGAGCATGTATCAGTATGCTAGAATATCTGGCAGTTATTGGGTTAAGTGCTGGTTTTGTTAATGGGTCAGTGGGAGGAGTTTCTAAAGGGCATTGGGAGACTTCCTGGACACAAGCCACATGGGAATGCCTTTGTTCATCCAGCCTCATGGCCCCTAGCCACACGGCTTGGAGATCTTATGCTTATGCCAACATGTGATGCTTATGCAGAAGAAGAGGGGAAAATTCATTATCAATTTACCTATGGAAATGAACAGAGATGTGTTATCCAGAAGCAACAATGTAAAAGCAAGTATTTTCTCTGAATAAACATATTTATCTGTTTTGCAGTCATTTCTATTGAGTTAACTGTCTGCCCTAGATGGGAAAGAAAAGCAAGTTGTTCTCTCTGGGTCAGAACAGATCTCAAGAAAGAAGAAGTAGACCATAGCATATCCAAACATTCCATCTGCACTGGTCCTGTACCCCTTATGGTGATGACTTGCCAATTCCTGATCTACCAGAATCCTACTCTCTAGACTCCGATGATGATGAAGACGATGAACAGAATGCAGCTGATCCAGGGCCGTTGATGTCAGCAGACCCAAACTTTAGCCCACCGCATGCTCCTCCTGAACCACATCTAATTTCACAGGGTGAACTAAATGACCTGGTCAGGGATTTGGAATTGCCTAAGAGTAAGGCAGAATTACTGGGCTCCAGATTGCAACAGTGGAACCTTGTCATTTAATCTGATATTAGAGCTTGTCAGTTTTTCATGCAGAAAGCATGAAAATGTTACATGAAAAACCAATAAATGAATGGAAAGTTATGTTATTGATATCAATAAAAGATAAATTTATAATGGTTGGTGTGGCACCGTTCTCGTTGCTATATCACATTTTGCAGAAAAGTTATGGAACATAATTGCATATCCCCCTCGTAATTTTAAATTATTTTGTGACCCAATTCTGGTAAAATTAAGCTACTTTCATTTCCAAGACTTTCTCCTTGTAGACCAGTGTTTTCAAGGTTCTGTTATATTATTCAACTAGCAATGAAAATCATTCCAGAAATCCAAGGGGTGTTTGGATTTCTGGAATGATCTTCATTGCTAGTTGAACTTGGGGCTGGATAAGTTTCCTGAAGTTGCTAGGTGTGAAGACCTTGACAGACATGATTTAGAATAAACAAGCTCACAAGAACACAAAAAAACCCCAAAGTAGATATTGCAATGGACAATATTGAAGTTCGCATTCTTATTTCTTGATATTAGGAACAAGAATGTTCTTTTAAATGTTATTAATTTTTCTAAGATTGTTAATATTTTTTATGTTTTAAGTAACAAAAAACTAGTTCTTTCTGGAGAGGAAAAGAAGTAAATTACAAACTAAATATGGCCAATTAGTATTTCTTAGTATTATCTTCTACAAAATCTTATTTCCCATTCGTCTGGAACAGAATCAAGAATTGATTCATCTTAAAATACTGTGGCTGAATTATGTATCAAACTATGCTAGGGTTTTCCAACAAATCATACTGTATTAAGCAATAATGTGAAGTATTGATTAGGTTCATGGAATGAACTGATACAGAAACAGCCACACTACCACTTAAAATGATGTGTTAACTTAGCTAACTACAGTGGTAGCTTAGTACTCAACTGCTTTGAAACTCACTGAATTTGGTACTCAACGCATTTTGATGCAAAGATTTTGTCCCGGTACTCAACACACAAGCTAGAATTTGGCTGCCTTGTGACTCACTACATTATTCCTTATGAAAAAAATCTGTTTGGTACTCATTGTTTTTGGTACTCATCATGCCTTCCGGAATCAATTAACAACGAGTACTGAGGTACCACTGTAATTTACACCTTGCTCCAAAAATTGAACAAATTTAGAAGGATTAAGAGGAAGTAACTGGAAGACACTGGATGGTTTAGGAAGAATTAATGTAGTTTATTTTCTTCCCTGCCATTTTTTTCCCTAAGCATACATAATCCATTAAAGAAACTGGCATCTCCATGGCAAACTCACAACTGAATTTAGAATTAAATGGCTTAACAGCTAGTTTTATTAAAAAAGAACTTCAAATATTTGCAGTTTTTCTTGAGACCATGCTATTTAACATCATTGTGGATCTCTCCTGTAAAACAATATTAAGACTTATTAGATTTATATTCTACCTTTTCTCTGGGAGTTCAAAATGGTTTAAAATGAATAATAAGAACATGAAAGCAAATTCTTATGAATTCACAGATGGACAAAAAAATAGATTGAAAACAGTATACACATATTTATTCAACTTTTTCTTTTTAATTCCATCAGATTCAAGCAAAACCTTAAGCTTTGAAATAAAACAATCAACATTGTAAATATAAAAAGGAAAGCACTGTATTACAAGTTTTGCTGAATTAAACAAAACCAAAAAGTATTAATTAAAACAAAAATGAGGAAAAAAAAGTAGAAACTGAGCTCAAATATATAAACACACACATACATGAAACACTGTCTCTTTTTCTGAACCCGAAGTATACTGTTATCAGAAGTTTCCTAATCATAATAATAATAATAATCCCACCTCTTTTACATGGATGATTTGAAGCTATGTGGAAAAACACCAAGTGAAATAGAATCACTGCTCAACACTCTCTGTATAATACAGGCAAAATACTGCAGTTGAGTTTGGACTGGACAAATGCGACATCCTCACTATCATCAGGGGAAAAATAGTGAAAACTGAAGGAATCAGGATGCCCTATGAAATAACATCAAGAATCTGGATAAAGATGATCACTGGGCATCTTTCAAGCTGACAGTGGAAAGCATACTGAAATGAAGGCTAGAAGTGACTATATCAAGAAAATGAAG